TTAATTTGTTTAAGCATCAGGCTCATAAAAAAGGTAAGGAAGTCTCAAGCGAAACGTCCGGCCCGCTTTTCCGACTGGCTTCGGGGTGCGACAGGGAGGCGTTATTCATAACGAGAAGGAATTGAGGAGGAGGGAGGATACGGAGGAAGGAGGAGGAGGGACGAGGTGGGCGCGGGGGAGGGGGGCCGTGGGCAAGGATGAAGAGGAAAAAGGGCGGATCACGCGGGGTAAGGAGAAAGATGAGGGGGTGTAGGAGGAGGAGGAGGCGGAGGAGGAGGAGGAGGAGGAGGAGGAGGAGGAGGAGGAGGAGGAGGTGTAGGAGGAGGAGGAGGAGGAGGAGGAGGAGGAGAACCGGGACCAGAGTCAACCCAGGATGCATCAGCGATGCCGCAGTACCCCCTCCCGTCCCAAGCCCCCTCCTCGCAAGTCCCTTGAAACCCTTCTCTTTACCACGGGCAGCCCTTCCTCGAAAGACCGCCGACCCGTGGGCCTGCTGTTCAGGCAAGGGCCCTGTTCCTCGATGGAGCCACGGTGCACCTTTCTAGCGTGAAGTCGGGCTTGTCCTTCTACAGGAGGAAAATTCAAAAATATTGAAACATTGTTTTGGGACGATTCATTGAGTATGTTTTAACTATTGTGTTTTTTTGCCTTTCGCCGCCCAAAATCCGCCTGTAAGTGGACATGCCCGACCTAATTCGATCGAGTTATACGTACTTGGAACAGGTGGGGTCATACGGCTAAGCTTTGTGTCGTCGAGCAAGATCTCAGCCACGAGAGCAGGAATCGCTTTCTCTTCCGTCCAGTTTCTGTACAAGCCTGCAGCAACAACACCATTTTGAAAAGGAACCGCCCTCCGCCAGAAGTTGCCTGGTATCCAGCAGCATGAAGCAATCCCCGCGGCCGCGCCTGAGCAACATCGTAGCAGCACGGAGCTTGGACTCTTAATCCTTCTTTCTTATGATTGAACTCCCGCACATCCCCACCTAGCCGGCCGATAGCACCTCCGTCGTCCTAACTGTCAAAACACAATGCAAACTCAACTTGTTCCTCGCCAACATGTCGTCGAGTGGCGAACAAATGTAGCAACAATGCGACATAATGGGCATCGCTTGGGAGGCCCTACGCGGGTGGTCGCGCCCTACCTTTTAAAAAAACAGTGTTTTTTTCGTCAACGTAGATTTTCTTGTCTTCGACGCTGCGACAAATGTCGCAGTAATGGGGCGCGGCGCACATCGCGCGCGGACGCCTGGCCAACCCTCCGCGGGACCCCCCGTCCTACCTGTCAAAAAACATTGCAACGTCGGCGTTTTTCTTGCCAACATGTACTTTCTCCTCGTCGGCACTGCGAATCGCGTAGCGGTAATGGGACGCGGCGCGCATCGCGCGGGGACGCTTGCTCGTCAACGTGGGCTTTCTTGTCGTCGACGCTGCGGCCCGTGGGGTTGAGGAGCTGGGCGGGCGGCAAGTCATAATGCCTCAAGCAAGAGCGGTTCAAGCAAGTGCCTGAGGAGACCCCCAAGAGGTCGAAAAAAACCGCTCAGGAGGTCCGGGGGGCAACACAAATATTGATGTTCATTTAGTGTTTGAAGGATGGTGAGGTTAGCACCTACTTGTGTTGACAATGTTCCAACCTGGAAGATGGATCCAAGAGGCCCTCAGGCGTATGCCAGAAAGCTCCCAGGACGCCCCGCGAATTCCCAAGATGCATTCCCCTCGTCCTCCTCAGTTTCTCCCTCCCTCCCTCTCTCCCTCCCCTCCTCCTCCTCCTCCTCCTCCTCCTCCTCCTCCTCCTCCTCCTCCTCTTCCTCCTCCTCCTCCTCCTCTTCCTCCTCTTCCTCCTCTTCCTCCTCCTCCTCCTCCGCCCCCTCATCCATGCGCGGCAAGAGCGAAACGATTGGCGGTGCAACGCGCGCGGCTGTAATGAGACGCGGCGCACTTCGCGCTCTGGACATATTGTCGCCGACGATGCAACATGAGAGGCCGGAGCGGGGCGCGGCGTACATCGCGCGCGGTCTTGTTTCTCGTCGACGCTGTTCAATACGCGGCAGGAATAGGACGCAGCCCATGTCGCGCGCTGAACGTCTAGCCGCCCGCGAGATATGATGAACGACAGGCGCCGGACGCGATGCACTTGTTTCTAATGTTGTGGGACGGCGGGTGGGAGTGGACGGAACGCTCTGGCTCGTTTGAGCTGGCGAACTTGACGTTTCGCGTACCCCCACCAGCCCTCGTGCTCTTCGTCTTCGGCACGCCCTTCTGGCGGCAGCTTCGCGGGCCGGGCGGTGCTTTTGACTTTCTTTCCGCCTGCTGGATGCCGCTCGCTTCGCCGGTTACGCCCACTCCGTGCCGGCACCGTGGCGTATGCTCAACCTTTGGCAATACAGACTAGAGGAAACTTCGCGCGGAATGTGCGAGGCGTTCCAGAGACGGCCTCGCCCCCGATGAGTCGAAGGAGTTGGCATCTTTCGGCCACGCGCACAAGAGGGGTAGGGGGGGGGGGAAGGCTGATCAGAAACACCCTGTTTCGCAAGTGTGGACCTTTACTATAGATGTAGGGACGCCGCCTTTTGAGAAACAGCTTCATTCGAAGTAGCCTCCTTTAAGAAGCAGCCTCCTTCAAAGGCGCCCCTTTTGAAGAAATCTCCGTTTAAGAAACAGCATCTCCGAGGAAACTCCCTTTTTAAGACGCCCTTTTCTTAGTAGCCTCCTTCCAAGAGGCCTCCCTCCAAGAAGCCTCCTCCCAAGGAGCGGCCCGCTTCCACGAAACCGCCCTCCGAAACGCAGCCTCCTTGGCAGCCTCCCATCCAAGGAGCAGCTCCCCTCCAAGAGGCCCCCGCGCGTTCCGCAGAGGCTCGGCGGACGGTCGGCGGAGGGTCGGCGGACGGTCGGCGGAGGGTCGGCGGCAGCGGAGCGCGGGCGGGGCTCCGCCGGCGGCGAGGGCCAGCGAGAGGCGGGCAGGCGGGCGGAAGGCGGGCGGGCGCGCCCCCGCCCCCCAGGATCGGGTATGGCCAGGACCCTGGGTAAGGGGACCCGGCTAGTGGTAGGGCCCCGGAGCCTTCGACTTGGCCACAATCACTAAACCAGGTTTGCCATAGTTGGTGTTTTTTTCGGGTGACGGCAGTTCCGGTTAGTGGAAATGGGACGGGGGTGCGCCTTCGGTACAGATCTCTAAACCAGGTTCTACTAAACCCAGTTCAGCCAACGCCCGACAGGAGGCGCGGGCCGGACGAGAGGTCGGCACGAACGAAGTGGGCACGGAAAAAAAGGGTACAGTGCCCAACAGCAGTTCCTGTTTATTTGATCGCTTCGCTCATTCCGCCGGCCCTGGAGCGCTATTCGGGGCCTCCTGGGGCCGTCTTGGGGGGTCCGTGGGGGTTTTTAGGGAGCGTCTTGGGGCTCCTTGGCGGCGTATTGGGCTCCCCTGGGGCCTCTTGGGGGGCTCTCGGGGGCCTCTTGGGGCGGGAGGGGGGGTAGTCGATTGCAGCCCCCCCACGGAGGCCACGATCATCGTGAGGGGTGGCGAAAAATAGCCTCATGCCCAACAACAGTTCATGTTTATTTTGGACAGGGCTCGCTGTCCGCGCCGCCGCGGCCTGTGTCCATGTGAGACAAGAGGCTGCCTGCCCAGCAGCGGCCGCTGCTGGTTTAGGGCCACATTGGTTGTTGGGCATTGCACCTATTTTTCCGTACCCATTTCGGGCGTCCAGAAGAGGGCAGGACAGGGAGAGTCACCACCCACCAATACACCCCAACCCAACCCGAAGGCCCCGGGTTTCAGTTTGCCTCGGGGGGCATCAGAAAAGCACGTGTGGGGCCCATACCCCCCCCCCAACTCGGAATTCGGGTCTTCGGGTGGGGTTGGGGTGGTCGGGGGGGTAGTCAGAAATTGGGAGGGGTTTGGGGGAGCGAAGAGTGGCATGAGCATGAAGACATTCGGAGGTCCGCGCGGATGTCTGGGAGCGGGGCTGGGGCCCCCTGGCGGTGCCTCTGGCGCCGCCCCTGGCGCGCTCCGCGCGCCAGGGAGGGGGTCCAGGGCCGATCCGAGAAATCTGCGCGGACCTCCAAGTTATCATGCTTATACAATTGTTCGTTCCTCTAGGGAAGGGGGGAAGGTACCTCGCCATGGGGGAGGCGGGTCCCGAGGGAAACGGGTCCTGAGGTTTTTTGCCGCTTTCGGGCCATTCAGGATGAAGACTTCGTCTTGGGGGAAGGCCCCAGGGTCCGGGACCCGCTTCCCTCAGGACCCGTGCCCCCATGCTAAAGGTGCGCCCCCCAGGAGAGTCGGGCCGGACGAGAGGGCAGGACAGGGAAAGGGGGGGTACCCCCCTCTCTCTCCTGCATGGTCTGGCTGGCGTAATTCTGCTCAGTGCCCTTGTGGGCCCGCTCTCTTTTCCTTTGCCTCTCGCGCCTTTCCTGCTTCCGGCTGTGCCCGCTGGGCGTGATTTGTGGACCTCGGGGCCTGAGTCGGCAGCCGCTCTGTTCACACGAACGCTAGAGCCACGACGCTCCAGCTCACCATTCAAGGGGGTTGCGAACTCTGCTGCATGCAGCTGGTTTCCGCCACGCCGCTGGGCCCATTCCTTGATATACGGGCGCCTCCCGGCGCCAGGAGGCGCCAGGAAAATCAGCTGCGTGAGCTGATTCTCTACCCTGCCCTTGGCCATACTACCGTTTAGGAGGGGTCGGAGGTTCCCGCGCCAGGTCGCGCGTAAGCGCCCTCGTCTCCAATGTAGCGTGCCGCGCTGGCGGCCCGCGTACGCTGCCGCGTGAGGTCGCTGTGCCATCTCGCGCAAGACCCTTTTTTGTCGTCGCTCACGTGTCGAAGTGGAGCTGTCCTCCATCTTTCAGAGGAGCAGGAGGCCCAAGTTTTCCAGGATTCCCTTCCAAGGTTTCTGATGACCACGACTTCCAAGAGTCATTTTGCCTCAAGGGACCGGCTCAAAGCGCCCCGTGAACATCACCTGGACTGTCATCGGCGTCGATCTGCCCCCGCCGCGCCCATGGCTGCCTTCGCCGAGATGCTCGGCGGCTTCCTCCTGGGCCCCGGCGGCGAGGTCACCGAGACCGTCGCGGCCCTCTCGGGCAAGGGCGCCGTCGCGCTCTACTTCAGCGCGCACTGGTGCCCGCCGTGCCGCGGCTTCACGCCCCAGCTCGCCGAGTGGTACAAGAGGGACCTGCAGGCCAAGGGCCTGGAGGTGGTCTTCGTGTCCTCCGACAGGGACGAGGCCTCGTTCAAGGAGTACTTCGCCGGCCAGCCCTGGATGGCTCTGCCCTACGGGGAGCGCGGTGCCAAGGAGAAGCTGTCCAAGATGTGCAAAGTGAAAGGCATCCCCTCGCTGGTGATCCTGGACTCCGACGGGAAGGTCATCACGACGGAAGGCCGAGATGCCGTCAGCGAGGACCCGACCGGCGCGGAGCTCCCGTGGAGGCCGAGGCCAGTGAAGGAGCTCCTGGCCGAGGCGAAGCTCGTCGGGCCCGCAGGCGAGTTGACGGTGCAGCAGGCGGTGCAGGAGAAGAAGGCGCTCGCGCTCTACTTCAGCGCGCACTGGTGCCCGCCGTGCCGCGGCTTCACGCCCAAGCTCGCCAACTGGTACAGGGAGGACCTGCAGGCCAAGGGCCTGGAGGTGGTCTTCGTCTCCTCCGACAAGGACGAGGCCTCGTTCAAGGAGTACTTCGCCGAGCAGCCCTGGCTGGCGCTGAGCTACGCCGACAGGAGTCTGCAGAAGAAGTTAAACAGGGCCCTGAAGGTGGGGGGCATCCCGACCCTGGTCATCCTGGACGCGGACTTGAACGTGGTCACGACCGATGGTCGCGGCGCCGTCGCAGCCGACCCCACGGGGGCCGCGATGCCCTGGTACCCGAAGCCCGTGAAGCAGCTCGCGGACGGCCCGGGAGACATCAACGAGGTGCCAACGCTGCTGATCTTCTGCGAGTCCAGCGACGCCGCGGGGGTGGACGCCCTGGCGCAGGTTCGGGGGTGGACAGAACCCCCTCCCTGACACGTTGATTAGTGAATTGTCCGTCTTCGGTTCTCGAGAGGGCGCCGCGGCCGTCATTTTCCAGGCTCGCGCCCGCCTGGTTGGGGTCCGAGGTCGTTTTCGCTGAACCACGTTTTACAGGCGGCCCAGATTAGCAGGTCGACCCTGCCAGAGATCAAGAGTACCATTGTGTCCTGTGTCTTGCGACCCATGCCTCCTGCATTTCTGTGGCAACGTGGCACTCGGAAGGGTCTTGTGTCCTCTCGCGTGTCCTGTCCAATGAAGTCCGACTGTACTAAAGAGGGTCCTGTCCGTTCCCGACAGGCCCTCGAGCCCCTGGCGGCGAAGCACACCGAGCGGGCGAGGGCGGCCGGCCGGGACCCGGACTTCTGCTTCATGCTGGCGGCAGCGGGGGCGGAGCTCGCCCCGAGAGTCCGCGGCATGCTGGGCCTCCTGGAGGCACCCGGCGCCGAGGCGGCTCCGGGGCCGCGGAGGAAAAGCGGTCCTGGGGTCGAGGTCTCCTCCTCCTCCTCTTCCTCCTCTTCCTCCTTCCTCCATCCTCCTTCCTCCATCCTCCTTCTTTCTTCTCCCTCCTTCCTCCTCCTCCTCCTCCTCCTCCTCATCCTCCTCCCGAGGCGGCTCCGCGTATGGCCCTCATCGACATCCCAGACGAGGGCGGCTACTACCTCGCGGCAGAGGGCTCTGAGGTCACCGCCGCCTCCGTGGAGCGCTTCCTCGACGACTACAAGACGGGGGCGCTGGAGCGGAAGCAGCTGAAGTGACCGGCGCCGGAGCCGCGTCCCGACATTCGAGAGAGCGCGCCGCCCCGACGTGTACAGTGTTGGGCGCGCCGCGTGCTGGACAGATGTGACTTAGCACTGATGGTTTCGTTGCACTCCTTTCTCGCGAAAATGATTCACTGCGTGGAGTTCCCCATGTGTGCATCCACCAGCACGGGCCTGTCCGCCGTGAGCGTCTGGGCGCAAGAGCTTTCAGATTCAAAGGGCTTGAGTGTTGACGGTCTGAGGCGGAGTGTGAGTGAGTCTCAGTAGTACGAGCGCGTCTCTGCGCATGAGCCTGGGGTGTCCTGGGGCCTCCTGAAACCTCCTGGGGCCTCCTGGGGCCTCCTGGAGCCTCTTGGAGCCTCCTGGGGCCTCGTGTTGCCTCCTGGGGCCTCCTGGAGTCTCCTGGAGCCTCCTGGGGCCTCCTGGGGAGGATTCGTGCCCCAGGAGAGGCCCAATCTATAGGAACAGACGTACATAAAACATTGCGGATTGGAGCCGCAGGAGAAGGACAATCTATAGGAACACACGTAAGATACCAAGGACTCGTGCCCCGGGAGAGGCCCAATCTATAGGAACATACGTAAAACATTCAGGGTCGGATACACAGGGGAATGACATAGAAACATACGTAAATCACATAAAGGATTCGTGCTCCAGGGGGTCTTAATCTACAGGAGCATATGTACATCACATGGGACTCGAGCCATTCCTGTGGCTTCTAGGCTTACTGCTCCTGGGGCCTCTTGGGGCATCCTGGTGCCCTGAGGGGCCTCCTGGTGCCTCCTGGCACTTCCTGTGGCCTCCTTGGGCCTCCTGTAGCCTCCTGTGGCCTCCTGGAGCATCCTGGAGCCTCCTGAGGCCCCCTGGAGCTTCCTGGGGCCTCCCAGAGCCTCTTGGGGTATCATGTGGCCTCTTGAATCTTCCTGTGGCTTCCTGATGCCTCCTGGGACCTCCTGCTGCCTCCTGGGGCCTCCCGGAGCCTGCTGGAGCCTTCTATGGCATCCTTGGGAGGATCCGTGCCCACGAGTCTGGCCACCCAAACATGCAAACCGATCGAGACATCCTCGAAATCTGGCCCCATTTGGGGGCGACAATGAACGCCTCGCTCGAGACATCCTCCACATCTGCTTTGAAATCGGAGGATGTTGAGCCAGGAAAAAGGTAAACCGCTCGAGAGGTCCCCGCCAGTATGGCGCAAACGGAGGAATGCAATACCCCCTGGCGGCTCCCCCTTGGGGGTGCCGAAACCCGCGCCTCGCTCGAGACATCCTCGAACCTGGCAGCCCAAATAGACAAACCGATCGAGACATCCTCAAACTCTGGCCCCACTTGGGGGCGAACATGAACCGCCTCGCTCGGGACACCCTCCACACTTGCTTCGAACTTGGAGGATGTTGAGCCAGGAAACTGGCAAACCGCTCGAGACGTCCCCGCCATCATGGCGCGAACGGAGGAGTGCAATAATTACCCTCTGCCGTCTCTCCCCTTGGGGGTGCTGAAACCTGGGCCTCCCTCGAGACATCCTCAGAATTTGCACCGCCATCATCATCATCATCATCATCATCATCATCATCATCATCATCATCATCATCATCATCAGCATCAGCATCAGCATCAGCATCATCATCATCATCATCATAATCATAATCATCATCATCATCATCGTCATCGTCATCGTCATCGTCATCGTCATCGTCATCGTCATCGTCACCGTCATCATCATCATCACCATCACCATCATCATCATCATTATCATCACCATCATCATCATCGTCATCATCATCATCAGCATCATCATCAGTAACAGCATTATTATCATTATCATCATGATCACCATCAGGATCATCATCAGCATCACCAGCATCATCATCAACATCAACATCAATATCAATGGTATCATCATCAGCGCCATCATCATCAGTATCGTCATCAATAGCAATCTCACCGTCATAATCAACATTATAAGCATCATCATCATCAGCAGCACCATCAGTATCATCATCATCATCATCATCATCCTCCTCCTCATCATCATCACCATCAGCATCATCATCATCATCATCAACATCATCATGTATGGGTATGAGCAAATCTGAGTATGAGGGAATCTACGTAGGAGGAGACGAGGAAAAGGAGAAGAGAAGGAGGAGAGGGAGTAGGAGGCGTCCAAGTTGTTGTTCATTGCGTGGAGCTCCCCATATTCGCATCCATGCACATCTAGTAGTATCAGTGCGCCTCTGCGCATGAGACTGGGGCCTCCTGGGGCCTCTTGAAACCTGCTGGGGCTTCCTGGTGCCTCCTGGAGTCTCTTGGGGCCTCCTGGGGCCAAATGGGGCTTTCTGGCGCCTCCTAAGGCCTCCTGGAGCCTCGTGTAGCCTCCTGGGGCCTCCAGGAGCCTCCTGGAGCCTCCTGGGGCCTCCTGGGGTGGATTCGTGCCCCAGGAGAGGCCCAATCTATAGGAACACGTACAACACTTTGGATTGAAGCCACAGGAGATGGGCAATCTACAGGAACACGCGTAAACCACCAGGGACTCGTGCCCCAGGGTAGACCCAATGTATAGGAACATACGTAAACGCTTAGGAGTGGATACACAGGAGAAGGGCCGTCTATATGGACATACGTAGAGCACTTGGGATTGGAGCCAGTCCTGCGGCCTTCTGAGGCCTATTGTTCCTGGGGCCTCGTGGGGGCTCCTGGAGCCTTCTGGGGGCTCCTGTTGCCTCCTGTTGCCTCCTGTCGCTTCCTGTGGCCTCCTGTGGCCTCCTGGTGCCTCCTAGTGCTTTCTGGGGCCGCCTGGAGCCTCCTGGGGCCTCCTAGTGCCTCCTGTGGTCTCCTGGGGCTTCTTGTGGTTTCCTGTGGCCTCCTGATGTCTCTTGAGACCTCCTGTTGCCTCCTGGGTCCTCCTGGAGCCTGCTGGAGCCTCATGTGTCATCCTCAGGAGGATCCGTGTCCACGAGTCTGGCCAGCAAAACAGGCCAACCGTACGAGGCATCCTCGCAATCCTGGCCACCTAGGGTGCGAAAACCATTGCCTCGCACGAGACAGCCTCCAAATCTGCTCCGAAAGCGGAGGATGTTGAGCTGGTAAGCAGGCAGACCGCATGAGGCATCCCCGCAATCTGGGCGCGAACGGAAGCCGTGATATACCTCTGGCGCCCCCCCCCCCTTTAGGAGTGCGACAACCAGCAACTTGCCCGAGACATCTTCAGACTCTGCTCTGAGCTCAGGCGAGCCTTGCCCCCCCCCCCCCCCCCCAAACAGGCAAACCCTTGGAGACATCCTCGCCATCTGGGCCCCCGCTGGGGTGCGAAAACCAGCGCCTCGCACGAGACATCCTCCAACTATGTTCCGACAGCGGATGATGTTGGGCATGCAAACAGGCAACTCGCTTGAGACATCCTTGCAATATGGCCCCTCTTGTCATCAGCACCGTCATCATCATCATCATCATCAGCATCATCATCATCATCATCATCGTCATCACCATCATCAACATTATCATCATCAGCAGCATCATCATCAGCACCATTATCATTATCAGTAGCATTACCATTATCAGTAACATAGCCTTCATCACGATCCTCATCATCAGACGCATAACCACTCATCATCATCATCATCATCAGCATCAGCATCATCATCATCATTATCATCATCATCAGCAGCAGCACCAGCATCAGCATCAGCATCGGCATCGGGATCGGCATCAGCACCAGCATCGGCATCAGCATCAGCATCACCACCAGCAACACCACCATCATCAATAGCATCATCATCATCATCATCATCATCATCATCATCATCATCATCGTCATCATCATCATCATCATCATCAGTCACCATGCTCTTATCGTCGTCAGGGGGGATGAGAACGGAGGAGTGTGTGTGTGTGTGTGTGAGG